TTCAATTTTCACACGGGTGTAAAAACTCAATTCAGTATTTGCAATACATGCAATTACAAATACCGGATGCAAATTCAAATAACATTTCATTGACAAGACAATTCAACAGCAACATATGTGCATATGCCAGGATCTAATTACATCACCAAATACAACATTTGAAATACCATCAGCCGACAACTGTAGTTAACACATACATTAGTAATCTAAACGTATCAAATGCACAAAAATATGTGTATACATATATATATATATATGGGGATGCACGCACGTAAACAAGCAAGCAAGGGAGCAAGCAAGCGAGTAAGCACAAGCACGCTTTACCCATATTGCAAACAAATTTTGTTTGGACTGCAGCGTAAATGAACGAAATTGCATAATAAGATATCCGAAATGAATTTGTTTTCATTTTATCTATAGAAGCATTCATTTAAACATTTCTATATATTTTACTTATATAGATATATATATGTATTTACATATATATATATATATATATAAAACTATGTGTGATTGTATTTTCATTTCATGAGGATTTGTAAATATGCCTGTCTGCCTGTCTGCTTGTCTGCTTGTCTATGCACTTAGCTTAGCATTATACAAACATACCAATTTTCCAATGTCCGTAATTAACATCAAGTGTATTGTAAAATTGTAATTTATTTCTATTAATCGAACGGCCGTTAGATAGGGGCTTACCAACGTTCCAAACGAGGAGTAATGGAATCGAAATTGTAATTAAATTTGATTAAAAAAAAAAAAAAAACAAAAAAGCTCAGTATCTTAGAACAACAAGAACGACAAGAGGAATTCAAATTAAACATATTTTACATGTTCGAAGGATGCGCAAAAAGGGAAACTGTACTACTGCTCTAGTAATACATTCAGATCCCCCCCCCCCCAGCACAGAAGCGGGAAACACCAATAATATAATTTAGCAAAATTTAAGAGAAATTCAATTCTGTTTAAAACATTCAACGAGTTGCCATATTTTGTATCGTAAAAGCTATCAACAAGTCATAGATAGCAGAGCTAGAATAACTCTCGACATACGGGGGGGAAAAAAAGAGGACAGCAGAAAAATAGAAAAAAAGCAAAGACTTTAGAAAAATAACAAAAGCGACAAGAATTATTTATGTACGATAAGGAATGAACTTCACTGATATTCATATGCAGCGAGTGTCAAAGACCGATGAAATTCTTATATGTTATCATAATTTTATCATATTATTTAATTTGTTGTGTGTGTTAATAAGGAAAAATCAATTAATGCACGATATACGATTTACGTTATTTTAAAACACATTTTTTTAACATAGCAGCTTTTGGCAATATTTTATATACGATATATGATTTACGATATTTTAAAACGCATCTGCTTAGATTTGGCAGCATTCATAGATGCTGAAATTTGATAATGTGTTAATGTACGATATACGACGTACGATATTTTAAATTAGCTTTTTTTTAATATTTTTAAATTGGCAAGATTTATAGATGCTGAAAGTTGGCAATGCTTTTCAATCAAATCTAGTGTAACTCTAGAGTAATATAGCGTTTCGTAATCTTGTCCCTTTAGGCTCTATTATGCCAGAGTGTATACGATCTGGCAGATATATATTATTTAATGCTTTGAGCAGGTCGAATTATGAGTAAAGAAGGCCGATTTAGTCAAATTTCAACATCTACACCGGGCGTGAAGCCTTAATCAGACGGATTCCGCAGAACCATTGGTAAATAATGAGTGAATTAGGACACTCCTCATCTTTGGAGAACAATCCTGCAAGAGAGAGGGCCTAATTTCAAAACAAAAGTTTCAAGACTGAAAGTTTGGTTATGGTCCAAATCTTCTTCTCTAGGCAAGGCGAAGCCTTCCAAGCACATTTAATGCGTCCGCATTTGCGTATACCACAGTCATCACGTACACACAACTCCCTTAAGCAGTCAGGCCTCACACATTGGTTGAAGCATTGGCATTTGTGTTCTTCATTTAAGACAAGGATATAAACATCATTCTTATCAGGCCAACAATCATTCATCAAAATTGTATAGTTTATGATTGTATAAACCAGCTTTCACCGAAGTTTCTTGCATGCAATCGTTCCTCCGGGGGATCCTGGCAAATACCGTTTATTAGGACTCAAAGAAACAAAAACAAAAACGGAAAAAGTTCTGATAAATGATGAGACATGGGTATTCTGCGATGATTCGTAAAAGCTTCACGATTCTGATTAAGTGGGCGATTGCGATTGACGATAAGGTCAAGGGTGGAAAACTCTAAATTCATATTTTCAATGGGGTGGCTAACTGGATACAGCATAAAGAATCGCTGCCAAATATAACTGATGCAATTGAGCGGATTTTTAAAAGTTGAACGCCTGCAATATAGGAATCACGCGACTTCTTGACGATGTTACTTTATGTCCTATGTTTCTCAAAAAAAAAAAGGAAAAGGAAGTTAAGTGTGCCTATAATGATATCAAATATCAAACCCAAAATATAATACGTGAGGAATACAAGCATCTTCAAAACCAAAGTTCCGTTGCTAAAAAATCGTCTACTCCGGATATAAACGCATCTTGAAAGTTAGTTTTGCTTAACGACCTGGACAAAAAACGCACCACCTGGGTTCTCGTGCCGAGAGGATTTATTTTAGTTTTAAACTTTGTTTTAACGGTATTAGTTGAAAGCTTAATCGCATTAATAACTTAGCCGTTTTCACATGATCACTTTACTGTTTTTTTTTTTTTTTCTATAAAGCGTTCGTTATCACACTTTGAGGAAAAAATTAAAAGCTAAAAAAAAAAGTAATCCATCAAATTGACAAGTTATCATAGCCGTAGGTATACAACATCACATTTGCATGCAAATAGTAAAAGCGAATGTGGCTCGTAGAAGCGGAGTAAGCATACAAATGTATTTGCTGCCTTCTATCATTAAAAGCCAATATACGAGAGGTGTTCAGGAAAAAGAATTATTTGAAAATTTGATTTTCGGATTATCCTCCTTCTTTTTTTTTTTTTGTTTTGTTGGTGTACATGTTCCCAACATGTTCAGCCATTTCGCATTTCTAGTGTGTTTTCGACAGATATAAGCAAAAGGCGTATTTTGGTGCGTTTGGCGAAAAAATGGATTAACGATTCTGTATAAAATTCCGTGTGATAAACAAAATTCAGACCCTCGACTCTCTTAAAATGTTAGCAGTGGTAATTGGCAAGTCTACTTTGAGTAAAAGAAGTGCTTATAAGTGCTATACACTTCACTGACAATCCCCAAAAGGTTTTAAAAAAAGCACACCAAGTTCGTTCAAATGTGAATATTTTGCTCCCGGTTTTCATCGATAATAATGGCGTCGTGTATCGTGACTTCTTGCCGGACAATAAGGTATATTATCTTGAATTTATGCGCTATTCGCGTAAAGCAATATGAAAAAAAGCTTGGAATGGTGGAAAAAGCAGTCATGGATATTGCACCCAGATAACTGCGCCGGTTCACCCCTCGTTGATTGTTCGTAATTTTTTGGACCAAAAGAACAAAGTAATCATACTTCAGCCGCCGAATTCATCGGACTTGACTCTACGCAACTTTTTCCTGTTCCTAAAATTGAAAGGATCCATGAAAGGGCGACATTTTGCCGCGGCAGATAAAGACCGCATCGCTGCATGCACTCAAGGCCTTATCAAAATGCACATTACAGAAGTGCTTTGAGGATTTGGAGAAACGCTAGCATAGGTATGTTATATCTAATGGGGATTACTTTGAAGTGAACAAAATAGATATTGACGGATAAATAAATATATTGCAAGTAATACACGAGTCCATATTTTTTTGAACCCATCTCACATATCATCTAATGGTATCGGATATTTTTAAAGTGAAAAACCTTTCAAACTTACGGGCGCCGTAAATCTACAGTTAAAGCAAGGAAAAACATTATAGTTGCGCAAGGCCCACCACTGAATACCCTACACCATATTGTCTAACACAATTCTTATTTTTATTGTAGAGCACAAAAATTATATCTCGTCTCCATATAAAGGCATATTTTTTAAGTGCGTATTTGTGAGGAAGTGGGCCGAAAACGCAAACTAATGTAATAAAAATTTAATTCTTACTTAGGGCAGGATTCAAAAATAGGCGTAGATGATCCAAATTTTGTAGAGTTCATTTTTGTATGAAATTACTATTATTCATCATCACATATTAAAACTTACGATGATCTACAAAGCATCGGTTATCGTGAAAATTCTTGTTAGGGTATGATCCAAAAAATAGGCCGAAATGGTCCAAATTGTTTCATGTTAAATCGCTATTGCGATATACTTTCCATCATGAACAATTGAAAATTATGCCTTTTTGTCGCATGAACTTCAGTTTTCATTATATGAGAGCGGGTTCAAAAATTGTCCCAGCTGGTTTAAAGTTCTCAAATCCAGAATGCCAAAGTGCTATTACTTAGAAATTTTGCAATTTTTTCCACATAACGACTTTTCGGAATAGGGCGTTACATGTGGAGAGGTTGAAAAAGTTAACTGATCTGACCCATTTTTAAAAGCCTTTGTCAAAACATGACCTTGTAGTAAATTTCATCAAAATAACTCAAGATTTGCAACGTGTAGCTTAAAGACAATTTTACATTGATAGATATCAGATGGGCAGGCGGACTGACGGACAGACGGACAGACAGGCTTATTTCAATTCAGATTGGCGTTCTGAATCGATCGGTATAATAAAAGATGGGTCTATCTTAAGCCCTTCTGGGTGTTACATACTTTGGCACTAATTTAATATACTCTGTACAAGAAGTGGTGTAGAGTATAAAAAACAATTTATTGTTATTTAATTTTAATTTTATTTATTTTCGTAAGCAATTTGCATATTAGTGGGTATATAAGGCCCAAATAATGCTTTACCACTATAACGCATTTTATGGCTTTAAACGATTTTTTGCAAAAAAAAAGAAAAACTGAATTGTATTTTAAGTCATTTGAAGCACTCACCTGTACTTAGACAAAATAGAGCTGCTGCTGCAAAATTCCAGAAATGCATTTGTTGTAAATGTATTTTAAGAATCGAACCCATTGTTTTGTGATTTTTACAAAAGCCGAGCATTGTCCTCTTTGTTGGCGAAAATAGTGATGATTGCAATGATGGCGATGTAGTAGCAGTCATTGTCTACGTGTTTGAATGGCGATTATTTTTTTCTTCCTTGTTTTTTTTTTTTTTTTGCTTTTTTGCTTTTAACACATTTGCTGACACAATTTCATCAGCATATAAAACATTTCAATGCTTTATGGCTTTATTCATTTTATTCGTTTTCCTGTTAATATGTTATGCGTGTAGGAACGAACACACCTTTTAGAGAATTTTTGTTATGATTTTTTTTTTTTTGTTTTTTATTATGATGAAAAGAACTTAACAATGATAGTACAAGAGTAAAACCGAAAAATAAAAAGAATTATAGTTTGGTTTTTTCTTTTTCTCTCTTCTTCTTCTTCGTCTTCTTCTTTTTCTTCTTCTGGTCTTTCTTTTTATGTGTGGGTGTGTGTTACGTATGTTACGTACATTTGTTCAATTTGTTCATTTTTTAAGTGCATAAATAACAACAAAAAAAAAAAAAAGGAAACGCTTAAGGTTTTCTTATTGATATCTTGTTTGATATGAGTAATCATTCATGCGTACGGTTATGTCAAATATTTTTCACATTTTTCAATGATTTCCAGTTCAACTATATATGTATAACGATATGAAGATAATAACGAAATGTTGATTATGTCTTCGGGTAAACACATTAAGTTTAATTTTATACTCAAATATATTTTCACTTAATTGATTAACTGAGTTGAATTGTTATAATTTGTTTTTGTTTTTTTTTTGCTTTTTTTGTTTGTTTCGCTCCCTTTTTTTTTTTTCTTCTTCTCTTTGATGGTTTACTCGAGTGTGTTTATGGTGTTCCGTTTTTCTTTCCTTCCTGTTAAACACATTTTATGCTGATGACGCCATTTAATAAACTGCTTGAGTTCAAATTGATTTTTTTTTTATAATGTTTTCTTTCTATGCATTAATTAATTATTTTCGAAACGGACGGACTCATTTTAAATTATCTATACTTATGATTTACGTTTAATTCGATTATTAGTTTTTTTTGTTTTGTTCTTTTGCTTCGAGATTATAATTATTTTAATTATTTTTTTTTTTTTTTTTTTTAAATATTAAATTGTATTCTTTTTTTTGTTTTCTACTTCGTCTTCTTCTTTTTCATTTATTAATTGTTCATTAAATATCGAAATTTTTACTGTTTCTTATTTTTTTTTTTTTTTTATTTCGTCATTTAAGTGTTATAGTCATTTAAAAAGTAAATTGAGATTTCTTTCGTTTAATAAAAGTTTCCTTAAAGGACTTTGAAAATTTATTATTTCCTTTCATACATTCACTATACACTATACATACACTATATTATTATAGTTTTTCTCATTTTGGATAATGGCCCATTGGAGCTTTAGTTTTTGGCATCTGTAATAAAAATGAATGAGAATACGTGAAAGTCAAGTTAATTAGAATTTAAATACGGGCACTTTTTTCTTCTTCTTCTTTTTGTCTTATATTTTCATAAAAGTGCAAAAATATTTTTTGCAGCAATTTAAATATATTTAACAGTAAACTCATATATATATATATGCATATATGTTTGTGTTCATGTAAAATTTTTTTTATTATTAAAAATTAAAATTTATATATAAACAACATAGACATATGATTAATATATATATATATTAGGTGTTTGCAAAAATTTTGATCAGCAAATTCTGCAGGTAAAAATGATAAGGAAATGGCAAGCACCAGCATACGTCACGGTTGAATTCGATGGTTTGGATGGACGGATATTCCTCTACATTGCACTTTCATTGCCTGTCAACCAAAACAAGAAGAGTTTCATGTGGCGTTTTGTTAGGGAAGAGGGCGTGCAACTAATACCATTTCAAGCGTGCGTTAGACCAGAAACACTATTCACATCCACACCGAAATGCAATATTCACAGCCATAAAGTTTTGCTGTGCGTATGGTGGGATCAGCAAGCTGTTACGAGCCACTAAAACAGTATAAAACTCTTACTGCAAATGTTTACCGACGTCAATTGAACAAATTGTACGATATCTGGTTGCAAAGCAAGTCAGCAATAGCGGTAAACAGACGTAAAATCATTCGCTTGCACGGCAATGCTCGGCCACACATTGCGGGAGTTGCCGAGGATACGCTATTGCAACTCGCATAGGATGTTCTGCTACACCCAGCTTACTCATCAGATATGGCGCTTGCAGATAACCAGATCGATGCGGCATGACTTGGCTGGCATGCTGGTCCGCAAAGTTGAAGAGGTGCGAAAATGGGTCGGTGGTTGGATCGTTGCCAAATCAATAAAAATGCTTTTGGCAAGATATCGCCACGTTGTCAAAAATATTGTACAATGTCGTAGAAAATGATGGAAACTATTTTGTTTAATATATGTTGTACCAATTTTCTTTTTCAAGTGAAAAAGTGATCAAGATCTTTGCAAACACTTAATGTTATATATTAGATGTGTTCGCCTAAGCGGCGGTGTAGCATAAGGTAACCCCACTAGCAACTTATTGAGCTGGGGTTCGACTCTCAAGTGCGTCAGGGTTCACAATAAAGCTGAGAATTGATAATAATGATAATAATATATTATATGTAGTAGAGGGTCCTATAAGTTTTTTCCCCGCCACAGCATGTATGACCTCGAGCCAGCTATGTTTGTAAACACGCAGGCTTATCTACTGCGCATTTATGGACGTGTGCCAGCTAAAATTGAATCCAAAAGAAATTCCAAGGAAGTTTTAGTTTATCCTCATAATTACCACCGAGTAGGTAAGAATCTTGACTACCGAATCAATGTTCGCTGATTCAAATCTCAATACAGGAAAAGTTCACTGCGCCCCGTCGCTTTAACGCAGTCTTTCAAGGCATAACAGTAATCGGATGGGAATTAATTCATTAGGTTGCACCCATCTTTCTATCCCTTTTCTAAGTGCCTTCTAAGGTAACCGTGTTATATGCACCGGCGTTCTACCCTGTCTTTGCGGGTCTAAACCTCAATGCGATAAAGTTTACTTTACTTTACTTTACTGGCTGTAGTTCTAGAGAATGTTCAGTCAGTAAAGGCATAACATTTATCGTTGGGATACACATCTACTAGACTGCGGCCACCTCGTCCCTATATTCTATCCTTCTCTTTTCTCTTTTTTTTCTGACCGTGACCGCGTTACGGTGCGAATCGGGGAAAATAGAAAAGAAAAAGTTGATTTTTATCGATTAAGTCGCCGATGTTTCAAACTTAGGAACAAATTTACAGTACACAGATATGGTACGCTGTGACGGTTATGTCTTTGTTTTTAACTTTTCACTTTGTTTTTAAGTTTGAGAAATGCCACGAATCCACATCAAGCCAAGTTTCTCTTTGATAGCCGATATAAAAATCAGTTAATTCGGTCAATGAGTTCGTTCATAAGTAAAAACAAATCGTTAATATTCTTATTTGTTTTCTTTAGATTACGATCTTTCAAAGCCATGTTTAGAGCGTTGAACTTTTTTGTTGTTGTTGTTTGTTGTTTGTTTTTTTTTTTTTTTTTTTTTGGTTCCATGCCATGGCATATTAACTCTTTGCTTTCAATAATATGCTCCTACGTTTCGGCCAGACGACACAAAAAGTATTCGCCGTCGTTGTCGTCGTCATCAGTGAAAAATTCCATCAATTTTTTTTTTTTTTTGCTTTTCATTTTGATATCTATTTGTTTTAAAAACTACTGCTTTTCATCTTTGAAAAAAGAATTGTTTTTCTTGCATTAAAATTGTTAAAGGAAACAACATTTAATACCTTTTCCGGTCTCTTTTTAAGCAGAAATTCGCTTATTCGCGACATGAATGGAAAATTGCTTTACACTAAATATGTAATGGTCCGGCTAATAGTAAATGTAATAATATGTTGAAAGGGCGGCTCGTTTACATATACATTTATATGCATATACCTGGTGCTGGTGTTGCTGCTACTGCTACTGCTGCCGCTACTGCTGCTGGTGTCATAGTCATAAAACTAATTTTGTGTTCTTCACTTTTATATTTTTAATAGTTTTTCTCTCCCTTAATGACAATAACAAGCCTTTGGCACCGAATTTCGACGAATTTTTATTTTTATTAAAAAAAACTGCCAAAAAAAAAAAAAAAAATTAAAAAAAGAAAAGTAAAAACATTTATGGAAAATACCGCATTTTTAATGCGTGCCAAAAATGTCCGAACGTTAGCATTTAACGCTGAGGTGAATATAAGCAATAAAAGGTGCACTGTTCTAGTTGTAGGTAAATCACATATTATAGTCTTTGCCAAAACAAAATATTTACATCTACCTTAGCCCGGACAAAAAAGTAATACATATCCGCTGCTGTAAAAAGGAAGTGAAAGGGAAGTCGGATTTTCTTGTTATAAACTTAAAAATGAAAAACTTTTATTAATCAAAACTTTAAAATACTTTCAGGGAAAATGAAATTTATTTGTGCCGTTGCTTTAAATGTATTTTATGTTAAAAAAAAAATAAATAAATAAATAAACACTGCCGGATGCGTTAAGAAAATCATTTTTCTACCAAAAGAATTATTTCATTGCCTTGGATCGCCTTTAATAACCCAGTTTCATGAACTAAGCCCACTATCTGGATATATTTTACCATATATTTCAGATATTTATTCAACTTTAGATTTGACTTATGATGTTTGAAGCCAGCTTTTAATGCAAATTGTTGAAATTTTATTATTATTATTATTATTAATTTCGCTAGAGAAATAAATTATAAGACTAAACTCTTAAAAGCACTAGCATCTAAGGCTATCGGCTTTTATGAAAAACTCTACCGCACTTGAGATTCGAACCCACGACCATTGATTTGCTAGTCGAGATTCCCCGCCTTCGGCTACTCAGGCGGATGTTGAAATTTTAAAAATAAAATCTTTGATAATCTTCGCACTTGTAGTCTAATGACGCTTGAATTCAATTTAAAAGCTTGCTTTGCACAATATAAGCAATATCCCTTCACGGATCCAGATGAATAGACAGTCAGAGGCGAGATTAATAGTTGTGGTGCAACGATTTTCTACATGCAATTCATTTTTGATCTTTTCCAGGCTTTTACCGGCGGGTTTTTCTATTTCGTTAGCCGGCGCGTAGTTTCGGCTGCCAAGTCGATGTTCGCCGGTTTAAATTTCATTCCGGTAGACGATACGTGGTCGTAACTATAGTGAGTACTCAGCCGCTAAAAGCATAACATCTATCGATTGGACACCATCCACTGAACTTTGGCCGCTCTCTACCTCTTGTTCACTCGTTATCGTTTTCCTTGCTGACCATCACTGCTTTCCCTATATAAGGGACATCTCTTTTAGTACCAATATGTTATATGTTTTGGCCCGAAAAAGAACACTCTTTCAAATCGTTCGGATCGGACCGTCTATGCGACCGCTTGCGATATGGAAACTTTATTTTGAAAAGTCGTTATACGAATAACTTTATTAAATGAAGTGATTCAGACTGTCCACCTATAGGGTTTTCACTTTTTTAATATAAGATATTATACTGAAAGTGGACTTAAGTGTAGTCTAATAAAAACTATTCTGAATTGGGCCAAAGCAAGTTAATGTAGCAAAATTTCAGCAATATTGCTCAAAAATTGCATCTTGTAGGTTGAAAACAAATGTACTTCGGTATACATCAAACGGACGGACGGACAGCCTAACATATATCGCACGAAATATAATAAAATGTGGATTTATCTCAAGTCTTTCCGCATGTTACCTTCGAATGGATAAATTTAACATAACCTATACTATAGCGTAGCGTGCAATACGCCATAACAATCAGTATAATTATTACAGGGATATGTGTAAAGCAATATAAAAAGCATTAAACTTAAGAACGAAACCTTTCACCGAAAATCTCTGCCTGGGCACAAAAATTAAAAAATTCATGCAAAAGAAAATTACTTAAGTCTCTCAAGCTTATACTTATACTCTATGGTATAATATAATATTAGTTATTAAATACAGTCAACTTAAAGAAGAAAAGCAAGCATTACTTTCACCAGGCGCATGATGATAAAAATGGCAAACAATTGACCTTATAGGCAAAAA